TTTTTTCTTTTTGCATTACAATTCTTTTTTTTTAAAGATTCATTCCTTAGATGTTTATTGATTTATTCATTTACATACGTGCTGAGAATTGAACCCAGTGCCTCACATACGTTAGGTAAGTGCTCTACCACTAAGCCACAACTCCAGCTGCATTAATACACATATATACCACAATTTATCATATCTCTGTTTGTACATAAGGTATGTTGACAAAACAAAATAATATTCATCTTATAATCAGGTCTGGTATCCCTGATATATTGGGCCTGCATTTTGAAATAAGATGAGGCTGAGACCAAAATTTGAGAATTTTCTGAGTTACTATTCAGTCTGATAACTCTCCAAGAGAGCCAGGACAGATAATCTCAGATCCCTGGAGCTGTCTCCTCAACTCCAGGGACCCTGTAGCTTATGAGGTGGGATGGGGGCATCCTCAAAATAAAAGGGACTGATTGGGGGGAGATTTGTATCCAACCTGGAAGGTGGACTGAGTATCCTGGTCCCCCAAATGGAAGGCCAGAAAAGCTCTTTGAGAAGGTCTTTGAAATGTCTACAGACATACTACTTTACAGAGTTGTTCACAGAGGCCAAGAGTGGAGAAATGATAGGCCAGTGTTACCCTGTAACAGTGCTTCTTAACCAGGGGCATGAAATTGCCCCCAGGACATTTAGTGGTGTCTGGGGACCTTTTTGGTTGGAAAGAATATGCTGCTGGTGTTTAGTGGGTGGACACCAGGCATGCTGCTAAACATCTTCCACTGTGCAGAGAGGCAAATAGAATTATTGGGTTCCAACTAGTGCCAATGTTGAGTGACCTAGCACCAGCTTTGGAACTAGATGTTCCTTTTGGTCTTCTGTGGAGCTCAAGTTCAACTCAAACAAAACAGTCAAACATTTATGGAGGAATTACTTTTTTTCAGGCACTTTACTAAGTGCTTCTCTTGCAGTAAGTCAGCTGCAAGTTGAGTATCCCTTATCTGAAATGCATGGGATCAGAAGTGTTTTGAATTCTGGATTAAAAAAACATTTTAGAATATTTGCATAGACATAGTGAGGTATCATGAGCCTGAGAATCAAGTCTAAACACAAAATTAATTTGTTTTATACATACTCACACAGCCCTGAAGATAATTTTATATAATATTTTTAGAGCACTTGCCTTTTGTCTGTGATGCACGTGTCCAATAAAGTCAGGTATGAAATTTTCTTCTTGTGACATTATGATGGTGCTCAAAATGTTTTGGATTTTGGAGCATTTTAGAGTTTTAGGTTAGAATTGTAGTGATTTTATTATTATCTTGATTTTCAGAATTAAAAAAGATATTGTTCCTATATTTACTTACTTTTTGTTACATTCATTATTTATTTTCTTCTGCTCAATTCTAAAAGTTTCCCAAGTCTGTTTTCCAGTGTCCCAATTTGATTTTCCTGCAAATATCGTATATTGCCTTCAAATTTTAATTGCGCTATGATTCTTGTCCTATTCTATTTGCAGTATTTTTGATTAATTTTTCTCAGTTATTTATTTCTCATGAGTATATGCATTTAAAAAAATCCATTTATTCTCTCTCTCTCTCTCTTAACCAGGGATTGCATCCAGAAACATTTTACCACTGAGCTACATTCTGAGCCCTTTTTATCAGCTACATTTCCAGCCCTTTTAATTTTTTATTGTAAGACAGTGTATTGCTAAGTTGCTTAGGACCTAAGTTGCTGAGGCTGGCCTCAAACTTGCAATCCTCCTGCCTCTGCCTCTCGAGATGCTGGGATTTCAGGTGTGTGCCACTGCACCTGATTCTATTCTCATTTTTTTGAGGAGTTTTGGAAAGAAATATTTTTAATATTACATCTTTAATTATGAGACCAACTTTATATCTTCTTAGAGATTAAAAATGAAGCCTTCTAAAAATCTTACCCATTTTAAGAGAAAAATCTCAGTAACCCAATATACTTCTAATATAGCCATCATAAGTTTAATAGTCTATGATGGAGGTAGAAGTATAGAGCCTGAAGGAAGGCAGAGATTCAAACTCTGACTCCCTGTGGCTGAAAACACATTTGTGTCCCATATGGTAAACATTTATCTGGTCAATCTAAGACCCTTGGAATGATCCCTTGGGAGCATCTCAGTCCATCCCTTCTGCCTAAGCTTTGGCATGTGCTTTGTCCTTATATATAGTTTATAATACTCATGCTCATTTAAAGTTGTTTTGTGATTATTACTGGGTATTATAATCTGGAAACTGGTATGAAACAAATTAGATATGTCTCATTTACTGCCATGTTAACTTAGAAATCCAGGTAATTGATATTAGAGTTAAAGGGAGATAGCTAAGCATATTCAAAGCCAGAGAGGGAACAGGAAGTAAGAGATCTGAATTACAGGGAAGATAATTTGGGGATCAAATCTTTAAAGAATCAGGAAAGTAGAGACCTAGTAAATAGATTTGGGAGAATAACATTGGGCAAGTGTAGGGCCATCTCTGTCTAAGATGTCATTTATCTTAGTAGTAAGCTGTAGTAACTGTGGAATTTCATTTGAGAGTTTCTGTTTCCTCTGTGGAATAGAAAGTTTGTATGATGTCTTAGTCTGTTCAGGTTGCAATATCAAAATGGCTTTATATAATGTATAAACATCAGAAATGTACTTCTCCAAGTTCTAGAGGTTGGGAAGTCGAAGGTCAGGGTCTTAGCAGATATAGCATCTGGTGAGGGCCTGATCTTCACAGAGGGTGCCTTCTTTGTGTCCTCCATGATGGAAGGGTGGAAAGAAAAGCTCTCTCAAGCTTCTTTTATAAAGGCACTAATCCCACAAGAACAAAGCCTTTATGACCTAAAGGTTCCATTTCTGATTGCTGCCACATTTGGTACTGGGATCCAACATACGAATTTTGGGAGGATACCACTATTCAGATCATAGCACATTGTCTTCTGGCAGTGAGAAGAACCAGGTTTGTAAAGATTTGGGTTAAATGGAAATTGTTGTAAACAGCTTCTGGGCATTGAGAAAACCTACTGGTTAGGGCAGAGATCAATATGGCAAACTTGGGTTTGAAGCATGATGGTATTTTGGTCATGGAACTTAATGCATGTCTGAAACTTGTCCATCAACATGAGGGAGATACATAACCAAAGACCAATGGCAAAGGAGAGTAAAAAAAATTGAATTTCTGTGTTCTCATTTCTGGTGTTGGCCCCAAATCCTCGTGGCCTTTAATCATGGCAGATTCTCCTGGGTTACCTTCAAATCATTCTCTTTTTTTTTATTATGGTTTTATTTTTTTATTTTTTTTTAAATTTTTTTTAATATTTATTTTTTAGTTCTCGGCAGACACAACATCTTTGTTGGTATGTGGTGCTGAGGATCGAACCCGGGCCACACGCATGCCAGGCGAGCACGCTACCACTTGAGCCACATCCCCAGCCCCTCAAATCATTCTCTTGTTTCTATTTTGGAAGGTTCAAAGAGCATCAGACTAAACTAAGCCTTGAAATTCAATCTGTTTATTTAATCCCATCTCTATCAATCTCCTTAAATAGTCCCCCTCTAGTCTTGCTACCATGATGGGAGTAGAGATCATTCCAGTACACCTGTGAGCACCCAGGGGCACAGCACCAGAGAAAAGCAAACGGCAAGAGAATGCACGTACCCTCCCAGTGTCAGCACTGATATGGTTAAGATGATGTTGTTAGTGGCACCAGACCTGGTAGAAAAGCTGAGAAATAAAAGTGCACCCTGGTTTCTTACTATTAGTCTTTGGGACTATGTCCTTCTTTTCCTCCTTTCTAGAAAGAGAGGAGGAAAAGAAGGACATAGGTATTCTCAAACTGCCAGTTCTCCATTCCAGGAATACAGAAATGGAAATCAGGAGAGGGAGAGAGGGAAAGGGAGAGGGAGAGGAAGATAGAGAGGGAGAGGGAGATGGAGAGGGAGAGAGAGAGGGAGAAGTTCAGTAAATCAGACAAAGGTGAACAAAGGGAAGGGAGGGGTATAGGAATAGGAAAGACAGTAGAGGGCTCTGATTTCTGATCAATTCTTGTGTATACATAACCCAAACTCCCTTAATATCAAGATTATTCAACACACAGACACATACTTGGGAAGATTACGGAGAATTCAGGTGTTTATGCCTTGTTGACTATTGACTGTCAAGAGAAGGAGATGGAGAGGGAGAGAGAGAGGAAGAGGGAAAAGGAGAGGGAGAGGGAGAGACAGATGCACACACACACACACATACACACCTAAACACTTTCCTTTTTTAATATTTACTTTTTAGTTGTAGTTGGATGCTATACCTTTATTTTATTTATTTTTATGTGGTGCTGAGGATGAACTCAGGGCCTCGCACATGCTGGGCGAATGCTCTACTGCTGAGCCACAACCCCAGCTCCCCTACACACATTCTTTACTGTAACATTATCTTACATGGATGATTCAATTAGTTAAATAGGGGCAGAATCTTGATATTTGCTGTAGTTTGCATGAATATTCCCCCAAAAGTCCATATATAAAGACTTGGCTCTCTGGGTGACTGAATTGGGTGGTGCTTTGAGAGGTGGGGCCTATGGGAATTTTTTAGGTCATTGAAGAGGTGCTCATGAAAGGGGTTGTGGGACCCCATCCATTCCCACCCTCTCCTTGGATTGCATACGTGAGCATTTTGCTCCAACATGTAGTCTCTGCCATTTCCACCCAAGACATGAAGTGAGGTATTCAATGGATGATTTTCAACAAACCTGTGCTATTCTGTTTGCACTTTGAAGCTCCAAAACTGTAAGCTAAATGAGCCCTTTCTCTTTATAGAGTTAATTACCTCAGGTGCTGTGTTGTAGGTATGCAAAGCTGACTAATGCTATATTTGATTGACCAGTCTTTGGAGAGGATCAGAAAGGCTTTTCAGATCCTCCAGTTAGCAGTGACAAGGTCAAGAGTGACAAGCTCCCTCTAAAGGGCAATGAGCAACACCTTCACTGATCATCCTCCTCTGTCCCATTATAGGATGTGTGGCAGGTTCCTGAGGCAGCTGTTGGCTGAGGAGAGCCAGCATTCCACCCCTGTGGGACGCCTCCTGCTTCCTGTTCTTCTGGGAGTCCGTCTTGTGCTGCTGGCTGCCAGTGGGCCTGGGATCTATGGTGATGATCAGAGAGAATTTGTGTGTCACACTCAGCAACCAGGCTGCAAGGTGGCCTGCTACGATGCCTTCCACCCACTCTCTCCGCTGCGCTTCTGGGCCTTCCAAGTCATCTTGTTGGCTGTGCCCAGTGTCCTCTATCTAGGCTTCACCCTTTATCATGTGATTGAGCACTTGGAAGAATCAGAAAAGGTGATGAAGAAGGAAGAGATCCTGACCCACAAAGGGGACAGCAGCAGAAGGGTCTCTGCGGCTAGAAACCTCAAGCTTCTCTGGGTCTATGTGGCACAGCTGGGTGCTCGGCTGGTTCTTGAAGCGGCATCCCTGGGGGGGCAGTATCTTTTGTATGGGTTCAACATTCCCAGCTCCATTTCATGTCGCCAAGAGCCTTGCATTGGCAGTGTAACCTGTAATCTGTCCCGCCCCTCTGAGAAGACCATCTTCCTAAAGACCATGTTTGGGTTCACTGGCCTCTGTCTCTTGGTTACTCTTTTGGAGCTGGTGCTTCTGGGTTTGGGGAGATGGTGGATGATCCTGAAGCACAAATCTTCCTCCTCAACTTCAGAGAGTACTACAAGACACAAGGAACCAACTGGCAACTTCCCAGTGGTGGAAACAAAAGAGCAGTTTCTAGAAGCAGGTGAGAAGGACCCTAAAGACCCTCTCACTTCCTGTCCCTGATGTCTCCATCTACCTGGGGGCAAATCCTTCACCCTTCTGGGAAGTACAACTTCCATATGTTCCAAGTAGATAACCAGTTTTCAGGCAGATGAGTTATGACCACTGCCCCCAAGTCCATCCCCCAGTGCCCATCCCCATCAATTGGACAATTCTGCCCATGGACCAGGATGCGAGTACCAGTCCCTTCTACTGCCTGCCCTTCAATTTTCCTACTTAGGAAATGTCTCAGCTTCTGCTCGATCTCTACTTTATAAAGTTATAAAGGCACTTGGCTTGCCTGAAGGAAACCCTATGATTGGATCTTCTTTGAAGCATTCAGTTAGTGGGGATTCACATCCATGACAAGTTAGAGGCTCTCGAAGGATATCAAAGGACCACATTGGCCCAGGCTATTGAAAACATTACTTTAAAGAATTCCTGACTCTGTCTTCTTCCCACAATTACCTGGTGTCAGCATCACAATTTTCCTGGGTTTGGTTCCAACATCAGCCAGAAAAAGCTTCCTTAAACCACAGACTTCTCTTGCCATCCTCAATAAATACTGATGACTATTATTGGCATTCCTGTTGCTGCTCTTTCCTGTGTCAGTTACTCCACTTATTTTTTTTTTTCTGTTCCATATTCTGTGCTCCTTCCTAGCTTCAAAGACCTATCATCTGTGAATGCCACCCAGCCCTGCAGCATATGTCATAGTTAGAAACTTTGGCCTTCCAAGTATATACATAACCCAAACTCTCTTAATATCAAGATTTTTCAACACACAGACACATACTTGGGAAGACTACCTAGAATTCAGGTGTTTATGGCTCGTTGTCCACTGACTATTGATGGCTCTGATTTCATGTGTGTGTGTTTGTGTGTGTATTCTTTATAGTTTTTTGTTTTTTAAAATTATTTTTAATTTTCTTTAGTGTATGTATATATGTATATACTATTATATATATTAGTTGTAGATGGACACAATACCTTTATTTTTTAATTTGTTTTTATCTGGTGCTAAGGATCAAACCCAGTGCCTCACACATGCTAGGCAAGCGCTCTACCACTGAGCCATAACAAGCCTCTATTTTCTTCATTTTTATTTTATTTTTAAAATTTCTTTTATTTTTTTTAAGTGTGTTACAAAATTTATTGGTGTAAGCATCCAGACACTTCCAGATGGGAAAGATGATGATATGCAGATTCCGCTATGAGGTGCAACAGAAAATCATGTGGGCAGGACAGTAGGCCTGGTGCAGGACTCCAAACAAAGGTTAGACAAGAGCACTTCCTCTGGGAAACTCAGAATAATAATTTAAAGCTTCATGAGGCAAGATATGTCTTGATTTAAAACACTAAGAAATAGTACCATCGATGAAAAAGGAAATCAACTTCTAAGTGTACCAAAAGGGGTGAAGGACAAACAAGAGGGACATTTGCATCTGTCGAGGTACAAATGGGAGTGTTCCATCGATTGGCGTTAATTATTATTAATGGCAAACCCTGCAAATACAAAATAAAACCCAAATTACTGGTCACATGATTCAAAATTTACATGTAATAAAGGCAAGGCAATAGACTCAAGTTATGGCCTGTCAAATATTTACTCCACGGACCTTATCTACAGAAGCACTTGGCCGATTTGTACACAGTGATTCCTTATGCACGCCAAAGGGGTTTCTGTAAAAATGACGCTATATACAGTCTGTACACAGATCCACCAGCGATTCTCCATCTCCTGGGGGAGTTATCGACTTAAATAAAGCAGGATACCTGAGGTTTCATGTCTTTAGTTGCCTTATCACAATCCCAAATATACACTTCAGGGGTTTTGTTTTCAAAGACATTTTCCTTGAATATGTGCACTGTGGTTAAAATTAAAAACAATAAAATAATAAAATAATTGCTTGAAGGAGCTGGCCCTCCCCACCCCATGCGAGAGACTTCATCAGGCTGTGGCAGAGCGAGGGCTGAGTGTGTCCCTGGACCGCTGGGCCTTGGGGGTGGCCCTCTGTGGTGCCTCCAGCAGAGCCGGCAAAGGTTCTCCTTTCAAAAGGAGGATGCAAAAGAAAGGAGGAAAAACAAAACCCCAGAGGCCCAAGGGTTTCAGTGGGACGAAGTTCCTCCACCACTTAGAGAATATCTCTGCAGCCACTGCACGATCTGGGCCACCATGGTGTCGGAGATCCTGGAGCAGGCCTCTTCTGCCAGGTAGATGGCCCCTCGCAGCTCCTCTATGGACCCCAGGTTCTCCCCACATGCTTGGCTCTTCTCCTTCAGCTCCGCAAGCAGAGGAGAAATAATTGTTGATAAACACTGAGAGAAAGGCCTCTTGGGGATGTCTTTCATCTTGTTTCTCTCCAAATCCGATGGCTGAAGAGCTCCGTTCTCCAGATTCTTGGGATTCTTCTCTTGGATTGTGAAGATCCTGTCCCCGGAGTCACTACCTCCAGATGCCTGGCCATCTGTTTCCGCGTCGGAGTCCTCAGAGCTGGAATGGTCCTGGCTCTGCTCGGCCTTCCACCGCTTGTACCTGTCAATGAGCTCCGTCAGGTAGGATGTCTGCTTTGCACTGCGCATTATGAATTTGTGCTTCAGCAGCTCCTTAGCAGTGGGTCTAAAGCTCCTCTCCTTGTTCAGACAGGCCTCCACGAACTCCTTGAGGGGTTTGCTGTAGTTCCCTTCCAGTGTGTGTGTGTGGGGGAGGGTTGTTCTTTGAAATCAGGAATAAAACCTTCATGGGATGCAGCTCAGAATGCGGGGCTCCCCTTTTGCCAGTTCTATAGCTGTTATACCCAGTGACCAGATGTCTGCCTTCGAGTCGTAAGCTGACTGACTGACTGTTTAATGACCTCGGGCGCCATCCAGAAGGGGGTGCCCATGAAGGTGTTCCGCTTTATCTGGGTATCTGTCAGCTGGCCCGCCACTCTGAAGTCGGCCAGCTTCACCTCTCTATGCTCCACAGCAGAACACTGGCGGCTTTGATGTCTCTGTGGATTTTCTTCTCTGAATGAAGATCATCAAGTCCTTTCAGAATTTCTCTTAATATGGTGGCAATCAGAGTTTCATCTAAAGGGCCAGGTTCTAATAGATCCAGGGCAGAGCCTTCGCCAAGGTATTCCATTATTATCCACAATTTAGTATCCTTCAAGTAGGATCCATAATATTTGGTTACATAGGGACTGTCACACTGACTCAGCACTGTGATTTCTTGTTGAATGTCCTCTATCTCATCTTCAGCTTCTTCCAGATCAATGATTTTTATGGCAACCTCTTTCTGAGTCCGATTGCCAATGCCTTTGAACACCTCACCAAAAGAGCCCTTTCCAATTTTCTCCAATTTCGTAAAAAGCTCTTCTGGGTCTGCTTTTAGGTTCTGCATGGCCGGCAGGCCCGACTGCACCGGGGAGTGGGCCATGGCGCTCAGGACGGCCACTTCCTGGCACGGGGACGGCCAGACTGCGGTGATCCGCGGGGGCAACCAGACCCGCGGGCCTCGCGGGAGCCCGAGGCCACCGCAGCCCTGGCCGGCTGGGTCTCAGCGGCGGACGGTGGGCCGTGTCTCCGTGCATGGAGCCGGGAGGGGCTGCGGGGGGCGCGGGGCCTCGCGCGAGCTGCTGCTGTTGCTACTGCTGCGCGCCACGATGCTCGGCTGCAGCAGGGCGGCCTGGGTCCGCTTGCACTGGCCGCCTGGAGCCGGAGTCTATTTTCTTCATTTTTAAATGGATTCTTCTTAATTATACGTGCTAGTAGAATCCACTTTCATAAAATTATACAAGCATGGAATATATATTTTTCTAATTAGGACCCCATTCTTTCCGGCAAAAGACTTAAAATCAGCATACTACAAGTGACACAGCTACATTAATGTTTATAGCAGCACAATTCATAACAGATGAAGAAATTTTGGTATATATACATCATGGAATATTACTCAGCCATTAAAGAAGAACAACTTTCTGACATTTGCAAGTAAATGGATGGATCTGGAGACTATCATGCTAACTGAAATAAGCCAATCCCCCCAAATCAAAGGTTGAATATTTTTTGTGGATATGTGGAGGCTAAGTCACAATAAAGGAATGGGGAGAGGAAGAAGAGAAGTTCAGTAAATCAGACAAAGGTGAACAAAGGGAAGGGAGGGGTATAGGAATAGGAAAGATGGCTCTGATTTCTGCTCAATTCTAGTTCTTCACTTGGTGCACTGCATGGGATCACAGTTTCCAGGGCAGCAGCAACTCAAATGCAGGACCATAATCCTCAATATCACTGAGGGAAGGTGATAGAGATTTACTGCTGGATTGGGAACTACCAACCAGGGAGGTTTACAAAACAGGGCGATTCAGTAGATCCTTTAAATCTAAGTATCAGGTTTCTTGACTCTTTCCTTATTTCTGTTGGAGAATGCTTCCCTCCACCATCTTTTTGCAGAGTTCTCTTTCTCTGCAGTTCCTTCTCACCCATAAAAGTCTCATTATATATAGTTACTGTTTCTAAAGTTATCCCCAAGTATGTCAGATGATCAACAGATCATCTGGTAACAACTAGAAAAAAACTTTTCTTCCTGTTACAAAAGTGTTTCATGAGAATCCTTTATCTGCTATAGCCAGAGCTCGGACATGGGGACCAAGGAACAAAACCCAAATGCCATCATTATTCTTCCTTATCCTACTCCTTTAAAAATAGCTTTATTGAGATACAATCCACAAACCATGTAATTTATTCATTTACAATATATAATTAAATGGATTTCAGTATAGACACAGAGTTGTATATTCATAAACACAATTTTAGAATATTTTTTCAATTGAAAAATGCTTATCCCCCAACCTCTAAATGTAAATAACCACTCAGCTATGGCTTCTGTGGATTTTTCTACCTTGGGCTTTTCATATAAATGAAATCAAGCAAAATGTGATCTTTTGCATCTTGACTTCTTTCACTTAGCACAATGTTTTCTTTCTTTTCTTCTTCTTTCTTTTGGTACTGGGAATTGAACCCAGGGACACTTTACCGTTAAGCCATATCCCCAGTCCTTTTTTTTTTTACTTTGAGACAGGGTCCCACTGAGTTGATTAGGGCCTCTCTAAGTTGCTGAGGCTGGCCTTAAATTCGTGATCCTCCTGCCTCAGCCTCCCAAGCTACTGGGATTACAGGTGTGTGCCACTGTGCCTGGCAGCATATGTTTTCAGGGTTCATTCATGTTGTAGCATGTTTCAGCACTTTATTTCTCTGTATGGTTGATTATTCCATTATTACCATACCCCATATTTTGTTTATCTGAACATTTCTGTTGTTTCCATTTTGGGGGGTATTATGAATGCTATTTCTATAAATGTTTTCATATCACTTTTTTTTTTGGTAAACATGCTTTTGATTCTCTTGAGTAAATACTTAGGAGTAGAATTGCTGGGATATATGATGACTCTGTGTGACTTTTAGAGAAACTGTCAAACTTACTTCCAGAACAGCTGCATAATTTTTACATATCTACCAGCCCTGTGTAAAGGTCTCATCCTAGCCACATTCTCAACAACACTGGTAATTTTTAAAAATATTT